AGCAAATATACGCGTACACTAATATTTAACAGGTGCTTGCTGCCTGATAATTCGTCATTCTTCACCTGCAGTCTGTACAAGAGTTCGTCGCTCTGCAAAACTGTTCCCTCTTTGATAGATTTTTGTATTTTTTATATTCTCTGTGCAGGAAACAAACCACATCTTGAAATTCTATAAAAGTCATGCCTCTCTCGAGGACTGGCATACCGAAAATCAAAAGACACTGCGCAAGTTTTAACAGTTTAAAAACCAAATCTCTGTTAATCTTATGACTACAAAGGCGGGGTAAGTAATGTTACTGGCTGAATTCAAATTACTACAAAACTTGATTACATAATTTTACTCAATAAATTCAAATTGCTGCAAAACTTAACTACATCGTCTTACTGGTTGAATTTACATCGCTATAACACTATGTTAATTAATGTTACTGGCTGAATTCATATCGCTACAACACACTGTTAATTAATGTTAGTGGCTGAATTCATATCGCTACAACACTCTGTTAATTAATGTTACTGGCTGAATTCATATCGCTACAACACTGTTAATTAATGTTACTGGTTGAATTCATATCGCTACAACACCACGTTAAGTAATGTTACTGGCTGAATTCATATCGCTATAACACTGTTAATTAATGTTACTGGTTGAATTCATATCGCTACAACACTGTTAATTAATGTTACTGGCTGAATTCATATCGCTACAACACTGTTAATTAATGTTACCGGTTGAATTCATATCGCTACAACACTATTAATTAATGTTACTGGCTGAATTCATATCGCTACAACACTGTTAATTAATGTTACTGGCTGAATTCATATCGCTACAACACTCTGTTAATTAATGTTACTGGCTGAATTCATATCGCTATAGCACTGCGTTAATTAATGTTACTGGCTGAATTCATATCGCTATAGCACTGCGTTAATTAATGTTACGGGCTGAATTCATATCGCTATAACACTGTTAATTAATGTTACTGGCTGAATTCATATCGCTATAGCACTGCGTTAATTAATGTTACTGGCTGAATTCATATCGCTACAACACTGTTAATTATTGTTACTGGCTGAATTCATATCGCTACAACACTGTTAATTAATGTTACTGGCTGAATTCATATCGCTATAGCACTGCGTTAATTAATGTTACTGGCTGAATTCATTTCGCTGCAACACCACGTTAATTAATGTTACTGGCTGAATTCATATCGCTACAACACTGTTAATTAATGTTACTGGCTGAATTCATATCGCTACAACACTGTTAATTAATGTTACTGGCTGAATTAAAAATCGATAAAATAGATTAATTTATAAGTGACAAATTAGCTGATGGTTCGTTACTAGCTTTACGTAAGGTATTCAAGAACACAAAGAAAATACAAAAATAATAAGCTTTCTTAAATTATATACTAATGAAGTCGATATTATGAATAAGTACAAAATGGAAAATCTACAGCGTTTAATATCAACAAGTTCTAACATTTCAAATTTGCATATAATTAGTAAGAGTAATTAATAATTTCTATCACACGTAAAATAAATATAGTTCAGAACTAAAGATTTTCGGCCTTAAACCCAATAATAACTCAAGATGTTTGGCCAATGTAGAAGATGTAGGTTAGATCAAAGTCGTTATGCTAAGCTAATAATGCAAAATGATTTTCATAAATGTTAAAAATTAATAAAAACAACAGTTAAGACTTTTGAACATTTCAGTTAATACTACAAACGAAACTACCTTTTAAGCAAAATATTAGGTCGTCAAGAAATTAATGTCGCTTTATTTTTTTAGATGTCGGGAAAATACTTTTTCAATTTACATACAAGAATCCATATAGTAAATCTAAGCTGTGCCAACGTATCAAAAGTACTAAAAATTTTAGTATGGCGTTCAAAAAGTATCATCCATCACACGATGCGAACTTATACAAACGGAGAAACAATACAGATACTAAAAGTTTAGACACACTTAATTTCTAAACTTGTTACGAAACTCGGCTGTCCTGGTCTATAGAATACACAACGCAGTTTTAAGTAGTTTGGGCTTTTCTTTAAACAAAATTTTGAATGATTAATAGGTTTGATCTTTCTTTTACGAACACCGTCACGTGAAGAATTGAGATATTCGTAATGTATTGTAATCTACAATACGCATTGGAAAGTTAACAAGCAGTAAAAAAATATATATATGATTACAGTTTCTTCGTGTGCACAAAGTGATCAATTTGAGGTTGTATAAAACTTCGTATTTTATATTCTTCCTAACAATCTGAAAAGGGGAAAAACTTAATGAAACTGTACAAAAAATAAACCAAACAAAACCAATCAGGAGAACAAAAAAACAGTTTATTCTATCTTTCATGTTCAAGCTGTTATTACAAGGGGGAAATAAAATCAATAGTCCATCATATGTACAAATAAAAATAGGACAGTTTCCATACAGCTCAGCTAACAGCTTTAAACATAACGGTCTCACCAAACTAAGAAGCTCTACATAATTAAACATTGCAGACACAATCTACAAGATATCCTCAGCATGCCAGTCAAACATTAAAACCAGGTTTCTTGGAACTAACACTCTGACCAAAGCATGCGGGAAATTATTTAAATTCACATTAATGCCAGCGTTACACGTACGTCTAATAAACTTCTTAAAAATAGAAACCAATACAATTGTTTATACTTACGTACAAAATTATTTATATAAATATCGAAGAGAAACAAGGGTCAAAAGAACAAGAAAAATGAACAAACAAAAAGCAAATATGGTGCATTCACATAATCATGTGCATTATACAAAGAAAAACAATCCAGCCACAACATTGTTACCGAACAATTTTCAAAAACACTAACTATTTAAAAAAAACGTTTGTGTTTGTGTGGGAAGGGGGGGGGGGAAATATGGGGATTGACAGTCCACACCTCTATATGTAACTTAACTTTTACGCGGAGCACGAGGCCACATGGCACGAGTGCTGGAGAGGACTTCGCGTGACGTCTCAAACGGAAACAGCTGTGCAAATAGAACAGAGTAAAGCTCCAGACACGCAGGGAGTAAGATATTACACACATCTATATAGTGTGTGTCTGTTTGTCTGTCATACACATAGACACATACACCGAATTTCTTTAAAATTCATCTTTATCTTGCACACTTCTGACGGCAAAATATGGTACATGCCAAAAACATTATTTTATTCCTGTTCCATATAATATCTAGAGACCGTGCTTCGTTATAGGAGTGTGTGTGTGTTTTATCACAGCAAAAGCCACATCGGGCTATCTGCTGTGTTCACCGAGGGGGAATCGAACTCTTGATTTTAGCATTGTAAATCCGAAGACTTACGGCTGTCCTACGGGGGGGGGGGACTTATTACAGGCATCGTCTATTACGTTTACAAATTAAAGGCGCTCAAAGTGTTAATGTGTTGAATTGAGAGCTTCAAATTGAATGTTGACCGTGTTATATCATGATCTCCAAACCTCAATGTTCTGTAATTTGGAAACAAAGTTAGTAAAGATTATTGGAGAAAATAACCACATATGTCAATTCCCTCTGCCACTTTTGTACATCACAAGATTTAATCTGTAGTATATTTTTTTTTCGCAAGTTACGTTTAACTATAACAAACTTAAAACACTGGCGATGTTTCCACGTGAATAATTTTATATAAGAACATGAGAAAAAAAACAACTAAATCGTGTTTCGTATCCATGGAAATATCAAGAAATGGAAAATACGCCTGATGATATATGTGGTACTGTATTTCAAAAAACAAAGAACGACACCGTGTGCCACGCTACCTCGTTAGAAGAGACCTCGCCATGTGCTAATTTACCCAACCTGCTACAAATATACGAACAATGCACACACAGGTGCTCATTTAATCAAGTGTGCCTAATTACACCGGGAAGTGAGGGGGGGGGGGAAGGGAAGAGGGGACGAAGTCATGCACCTTTGTAGCAAACATAAGTTTGTTTGGACGTAAACAAAGGCCTGAAATTCATGTATGGTGTAGCATAAGGTAAGAGTACGTACAGTTACACACAAATTTTACTTTTCGAACGAGTTAAACGAGACGAAAAAACACGATTATCGAGAGGTAATTATTAGTTATCTCGCCGTAACCTGTTTCATAATTAAATAAAATACATTTCCCTTTCAATTATGATAAAACGATCCAAAACCTTGTGACTAATACTTTGGATTTTTACTTAAGTACTACTGGTGGTAAAAAAAAGCTTTTGGAGTTTTTAAGGTATGAAAATTGAACGTTTCCAATGTTACGGCTGGAATTATAAGAATGTCACAAGCAAAATGTCTTATATACAAAAATTCAGATAATATAATGAGTTGTTTTTTTTTTTTTTAATTACTAGATGGTTGCTAGTTCAACTCAATAACCAAGCAATTTTGAAACTCGAGGATGAATTAAGAAGATCATTTTACAACAAAAGCTTGTATCACTACATGTAAATATCTTTGTATATTCCTGAGCTAGGAAACCGTGACAGATGAACACGGACGTACTGAACGAAATGCTTGTTCCGTCAAATTTAGGATGCACGTAAATCACTAGTATGTCTGTACAAATATCGCTCTCAGCCCATTCCCAAAGCACATAAGACAAAATGTACACAACTGATAACTTAGCTTATTTCTTTATATTGTTTACATGGCATAGTCAAAAATTTAAATTTTAGGAACTACAAACTTGGACTGTACTCCAAATAACTTGTCTAATTGGTACTTAATTCTTCTCGCAAACAATTCCATAGTTTTTGGAAATCAAATTCTTTACTTCACTTGATTCTTTTCAATTATCAACAAAGTGTAAATAAATATGATGGGCTGTGACTTACAGTTTAACACAAGACATAATTTTTTTTCCCCTCTTACCAGCAAGAAACGAGTCTGTTACCGGCTGAAGAACGGCGAAGAATTTACATGTCCTAAATCTAATCAGTTTCAGAGCTTGTTCCTACCTGTGTTGTATATGCTAGGAGGAATGATGTTGCTGTGCATTCCTGGGTAGTATCCTGGTACTCCGGTGTACATATAAGGAAATAAGCCAGATCCATCATTGGGAGGAACAGAAAAATCCATATTTTGATTCACTGATGTATTACTATGAGTGGAAATTGCAGAAGGCACTGGCACCACGGTGTCTTTGGTGGCATCTCCTGTTAGTTTGACAGAGGTGTTGGCAAGTCCCATTGGAGTCGAAGACCCTGTTGAATTTTCCTTTCTACAAGAACTTCTTTCGCTAAGCGAAGAATTAACCTTATCCTTGGTGTTTGATGAATTTGTCTCATGATTATTAGGCAAACCAAGCCCAGAAATACCAAGACTAGTCATCTGCTGAAGTTCCAACATCTGTAGTTGTTGCATTAGGTTCTGTTGGCCTGATACCGCAATAGCAGATGAAGATGATCCTACTATGGACGCATTATTTTCCATTCGTTCTTGCTGCATAAGCTGAGATAAAGCATTTCCTCCACCAGCAGTGGGGAAATCAGCGGAATGAGAAGATGTTTCTTGGCTATCTGTCAAATTCTTGAGGCTCTCAATTTGGATCTTCAGGTTTTCTATATGTCTTTTGGAAAACAAGTGGTCCTGTATACATGTAGAAAATTTTGGATCATACTTGAACTTACAGATTTTGCATTCTTCTGCAGTTGTTTTCGTCTCCATTTCCTGACCAAAAGTTTTCGCAAAAGCTATTTTAGATTTTTTCTCTTTTGCTCGAGCATTCTGGAACCAAACTTGGACTACTCTCTTGGCAAGACCAATTTCACGACCCAATTGTTCACATTCTGCCATAGATGGTGTCTTATAATCTACAAAAATAGATTTCATGATTTTTATCTGCAATGTAGTCATCTGGGTTCTAAATCTCTTTGCAGAATTGGTCATGTTACGCGTATTTTGCGATTGAGACTGGGTAGCTGGAGACGTTGGACTGCTTTCGTGCGATACGTCTTCACCCTCTCTGTCGGTAGATTCTGAATAAGTCTCTGAACGTGTGTCGTCAATAATAGATAATCGGAAAGATGAGTCTTCCAAACTTTTGTCACTTAAATTAGTGGGTATCGGGTCTATTGACTTATCTGCTTGAACATTTACTTTCATTGGTTTACTCAGATCAAGGGGCCCATCCTTCAGTTTTGATGTTCCAGACTGCTGGAACTTCACACTAAGATCTGCAGGCCCAGAAGATTCTTTTGTATTAATATCGGGGAATGTCAAGTCGCTATCATGCTTCTTTGATGGTTCTTCATCGGTGCATTTGTTCATTGAATTCACAGATGAAGGAGAATATCCCGGTACTGGAGAAGAAGATGTGAGCAAGCTAGGAAAACCTGAAATACTTCCTTTAGCTTCATCTTCGGCGCTGTTCCCAGCCTCTGAATCGGTATCTCCATCAGGAAAAGCATCAACGTTTATCTCTCCTTTAGTATACTGATCAGCGTGTCTAGTAGCTAGATGAGATTCGAGTGCAGACCTAGCTTTGAACAGAGCTCGACAAAATGGGCACCGTTTATGTATGACTTGCTGATGAGCACGAAACTGCCCCTTTCTCTCTCGGGCTCGCGTGTTTTGAAACCAAACCTGAACAACTCTTTTCTTTAGCCCCACTTCTCGGGAAATTGATTCAAGCATTTTCCGACTTGGATTACTTTCTATCTGATACTTTTGGTATAAAAAATCAAGTTGTTCCGGGAGAATTGTTGTCCTTAACCTTTTGTCTCTTGGCTGGTCAGTTGACTCCTTCGATTCTTCATCTTCAGAAAGTTTACGTTTCATTGTTCCTTGTGCTTCGTATTGAAGCATTCCAAAGGATGAGTTGGGTGAATAACTAGAATACAAATTCGGGTTCATTATATGAACAATCTGATGTTCTCGCCATAATTCAAAACGTGGAAACGCTAAACTGCACTTATCACATTGGTATGTTCCATTTTGACAGGCAGTTTTACTATGATCTGTTGGACGGTTGACTCCTTGATTAACTGCAGGCAGAACTGGGCGTGATCTTGCCTCTGTCCCATCTGAAGAAGCTTTAACCTGTGTTGCAACTGGATTTTCATCCTTGAAGCACAGACTTTTCTGATGCTTGATTAGTTCATAATAGCGCTGAAATACTTGCAAGCACTTTTTACACTGATAATTTAATCCTGAAGTTCTCTGGAAACGTCCAGAGTTTTCTTCTTCAGTAGTAACTGGAGGTTGATTTTCATACATTTTTCTAGCTTTCTGTCTAGCATTTTGGAACCATACCACAATAATACGAGGACTCAGATGTAAAAGTTTTGACAAATATTCCAAATTATCATCCTTTGGATAAGCGTTTGTTTCGAAAAACTCTTGCAAAATTTTAACCTGATAATCAGTAAAACGTGTTCTATTAGCACGTTTTCCTGAGCCAGAACTTCGAGATGATATGGAATTAGGAGATAGAGAAGGTTTTGTTGTGTCACTTTTAGGAACTCCTGCATGTCCAAACGAAGTACTAGTCGTGGCGACTGAAAAGTTTATGGAACCCGAAGAATAATCTACTGAATCATCACTCGAATCTTTTTGTTTTAACATTTCACTCTGAGAGTTACATGCATCGCTGTACAACGTTGGTTCTCTACTTAATTCTGAATCTCTTGAAGATAATGCAGGATATGTATCTATTGTTGTCATACTCTTCCCCACACACTGGCTTGATGCACTTTTATCTTTCACAGACATCTCTGGTGTTCGTCGTTCATTAGAATTTATGATTTCTTTATCAAAAACAGCAGTATTATTCTGTGGTATTATCAGCTCATTTTCTTGAGGTATTTCTTTAAAGTTTTTATTGTTTACTTCAGTATGGTGGCTAGGTTCATTTACAGAGAGTACTCTTGCTTCCCCCGTTTTTTCATATTCTTCCAAGTTTAAATATGTAGAAGGGGGATTGCTGAAGTTGTAAGGAGAGTCTTTATTGCGTTGCCTTTCTTTGAACAAAGTATTTCTAAACCAATGTTTAATCACTTTTACTGTTAATCCTGACTTATCTGACATTTCTACGAGCTGTTCTTCTGTGGGAGAATTATTAATGTTAAAGTATGTACGCAAGATTTTCAGTTGGTCATCACTAATACGCGTTCTTGCTCGCTTCTGTTGCTGTGACTGCGACAGTTGTTGTGGTTGCTGTTGAAGCAACTTCTGTTGAGAAGCAAAGTAATTTGGTTCAAGGGACCCTGCCAACATTGGATGCTTAAAGGCAGAAGCCATGAAGGGATCAACAGGAGGTGGCATCATCATTGGAATCATTGGAGGGTGCATGTTCATAGTGGCAAGAGACATACCCATCCCTACGGGTAATCCCATTCCTAGTCCCATGCTCATCAGTAACTGATTAAACTGGAATTGTGCTGCCATATGATTAGCACTAAAAGAATCATTTTGTTGACCAGCCATGGATGTTACAGGCGACGGTAAAGTTGGTGCTCCTAAGGCATAAAGACCCATGGATGAACAAGGATCTTTTTGGACCTGGCCATTGCTTTCTGGTGTTGATGTGGGAGTTGGTGTAGCATCTGAAGTGCTACCCCCATCTTCTGTCTGTGACTGTTTTTTTTCATAATGTTTTTTATATTCATCTACAAAAGTCTCCAGTAAATTGAAAGGTACAACTTGTTTGTGGTATTCCTCTTTATGAGATTTCAAAACCCAAATACTCGAAAACTCTCTCTGACATAAATCACAAACAGATTTGTTTATCTCTGGTAAAAAACTGGTGACTGCTTTTAATTTTTCTTCCCCTTCTCCTGCTTCATTGTTGTTAATTTTTCTATGAGTATTGGTTTCTTTGTCACCTTCAGAATCTTTATTCTCTGAATCTTTCTTGACTTTCTTTTTGTTAAACTCATTAAACTGCATAACAATGTCGAATCCGTAGCTTTCCAACAGGTGTTTATACATAAAAGGCTTGCTTCTTGGATAGGGAAACTTTGATTTCAATATCTGAGAATTCATCTGGATAGATGTCGTCTGTTCATTAACATGAGATGAAAAAGAATGTCTTTCTGGATTAGGTTCACATGGCGATGACGAAGCATGTTCTGATTTCGAATATCCCATCTCTGGATGTTGTTGGCTACCAGCTAAATCTGAGTGAACTATCTGGATTGGTAGCTGGCATTGAGACAAGCCAGCTAGGGCAGAAGGAGATAAGCCTGGTGGTCCTGCTCCAAACAATGATGCGGGAGGCTGACCGAAAAAGCAACAAAATTGCTGATGTTGAAGTAAAGCTTCCTGAGAGATGCACGGTTGGTGACAACGCTGACAAGTATAAGTGCTCGGTGATGAAATATCAGAGGTTGCAAGAATAGGTGTTTGAGCTAGGTGGGATGCAAGGCTTAAAGCTTGTTGTACTGATGAAGGGTCTGGAGGAACTTGAAATGGTAGTTGTGAAGAGGCACTAGATTTAGTGACTGTACCAGAGATTGGTACAATGCAGTGAGGAACTTGTAATAATTCATTCAGTGTAGAAGGCTGAGATGCAGAAACTGAATATGCAGTAGATGTTGTAATTGTTTCTGTTCCAGGCTTTAGCTTGCTTGAAACGTCCCTAACACACTTTGGCTGCGTATCTTGGGCCTGTGTGGATTCGGGTTTTTCAATAAGTGGAATGCTCAAGTCTATCTGTCCAGCCACTGCCAGTTCGTGTAGTTTTGAAGCTCTAGTCTGATGTAAAACAGACCTTACGTGTATATCTAAAGTAGATCCTTGACTATAAGCAACCTTACAAATGTTACACTTGTATGGTTTTTTATCTGATTCGCCATTACTTAATATATTGCTTGGACTTGGGCAATTACTGGTAGAGATCGTAGTGCTTGTCATGGATGCCGTTGAAACTGTTGTATTTGCACCAGTGCTGTTCTCTTTCATACTTTGTTTCAACTTGTGCAAGTGAGAAACAGAATTATAATGCACAAGCAAAATGTTTTTCTGGGTAAAGGATTCTTTACAAACATCACACTTATAAGGCCGGTTGGGATCAAGATATTTCTCCATGGGGTAGCTCATCTTCTCTCCCTTGCGATGGAGCAGGGTCTTGTTATGACTTGTGAGATAACTCTGGCGGGTGAAAGCAACTTTACATCGATGACATTTGTATTTCCTAGAGGGATCATTGTAACTATCTTCTGCCACTGCCTGGCTGTTAATGTAATCTTCAAAACACTGTTCCTTTGTACTGTCATCTATTAGGTTGATGGCCTGTTCGTTTCCATCGTCAGTGTTCATTTCAGGGTTATTTATTTGATCGGGGGGATCTTGAGGGATCAACGTGTCCATGGGTTCCTCAGAGGATTCTACCGTGTCTCTATTATTATCTTTCTTCATGAGTTCTGTTGTTTGTGGATCGAGCACACCTGGTCCACTTCCTTGGTTTGTTAACAAAGGATTATTGGCCAGACTGGCTTGATATTGCTCCTTCTCCTCGTTAGTCATATCAGTGTGGGATGTCTCAACGTGTTTCTGCAGGGCTTGAATAGATCGGAAACTGCGGTCACACAGGACACACTTAGTTGCTGCTCGGATGACATGATACTGTGAATGAAGTTGTAATTTATCCAAAGTTCTGAAAGCCAAACTACACTGACTACAACGATACTTGTAAACGTGACGATCAGACACAGCAAGTTGAGGAATTTTTGCATGAACTTCTTTAAAATGAATCTGTAAAGTTTGAGAAGAAGGAAAGAACTGTTTACAACCTTTCCACCAGCACATATATCCAGATCCTCGAGGTGTTTGTTTCATTTCAATGTGCCCTTTCTCGTTCTGATGCAGGAATAGGTCATCAACATTACCAAACATTTTATAACATATAGGACAGGCCAATTCTTCAGCTGCCGATTCTTCTGTGCAAAGTTTTTCCTGGCTATCGCTGTCATCTTCACTGTTGTCATCTTTCGAGTCCACGGAATCTTCATTCTGAGCTGCTGTTTTATCTTCAAATGCTGAATGGTCCACGATGGCCAAAATTCTTTTCACGCCTTCCTTGTTAACATTATGAGTATCCATTACATGCTTTTCCAATTCTGTCCACTCTACAAAGCTGTCTTGACAAAGAGGACAATCTAGGGGAGTTAATTTCTGAGAATGTTGTGCTGACATGTGCATCTGGACACGGGCTTCATTAGAATTAGTGTAGTCACAGAAAGAACATGTATAAGCCTGCTGGTTTGAGTTGTTGGTGTCTTCCGATGTTCCTGGTGCACTAGAGCTCTTGGCTTGATCGAGTAAAGCTTGTTTAAGTACGGATTCGTCGTTTTGCTCATCTTTCCTAAACTGTTCCCATCGTTCTCTGCTCTTCTGGGCTTCAGGCTCTTTGTGTTCCTTTAATTTCGGGGCTGAAAAGAAAATATTAAAATAATAAATCTACTTTCAGGAGGTAGTGCATCAAGAATACCACGAAAACTTGTTCTTAGCTACAAAACAAAATACCTATTAGTCACTATACATATGACAAAATTCCCTGTTAACCCATTATTACTCTTAAAGACTTCTGAAGGACTGCAGTTGGTTCTGTATTTCGCCTAGAGCAAATTAAGTGCCAAGTCGTGAGTTGTCGCTTTTTTTATAAATAGCTATTCATTCTTTTAACAAACCAAACGCATCATTTTTCGTGAGAGACATAAATAATCAGTCATTAAGTTTTTTGTTGTCTGCGGAGACAATAAAAGCTGTTCTTTTCACTTTTTTCAAACATGAAGCTAAGCCTACCCACATGTACTCATGTGAAGTGTTTTCACTTTTTTCAAACAAGAAGCTAAGTGTTTTCACTTTTTCCTTTTAGTATTATAGTAGGTGGCAAAATATATTAAATGTCAATACGAGTCAAATATTTATGGGTAATTTAGTATTGTTTGTTTGTTTCTTTGTAGTTAAGCACGGCAGTATTCTACAGGTTTCTTTTCGATATTGAAATAAATTATTTCAGCTAATGGTAAACATTTTTTATCTTGACTATTATTTATTGACGACTACATTATTTGCCCCCCTCTCCCCCCAGTGGCTCAGCGGTAAACCTAAAGGTTTACAACGCTAAAAACCGAATTTCGATACCCGTGGTGAGAACAGCCCATTGTGCCGCTTTCCTTTTTCTTGTTTTCATGCTTATTCAAACAGAAACGGTGTTGAAGAGTTGAACCCGTATAATTTGAAGTATTATATATATATATATATATTTATAACATATTGTTACAAATATTCAACAAAACTCTTACATCGAAGACTGCCTTCTGGAGTTGAATCAGCTCTTAACAGCTCGTTTACTCTTATAGTAGATAATGTAACATTCTGTACTCAACATTGCGCGCATAAAACAAAAAAAATTGTCATACAACTAGTTTGCATCTAATTTTAGATCGAGTTGGTATTCTAAGTTTTCTTTATTCTCTCTCTCTTCAAAGGTAAAAGAGAGAGAGAGAGGGGCACCCGCACAATTAATTATATTTCCCCGCAGTAACTACCAAAATAAAGGAAATCAATTAGAAGAGAGAGGGCACCCGCACAATTAATTATATTTCCCCGCAGTAACTACCAAAATAAAGGAAATCAATTAGAAGAGAGAGGGCACCCGCACAATTAATTATATTTCCCCGCAGTAACTACCAAAATAAAGGAAATCAATTAGAATTTATTGTTCATTTTTATGCGAAGATTGAGGAAATTTGAAAGCTTCTGTTCTCCTCGTATTATGCTTTTGTTCCTACAGAATTTCATAAAATCCACCCAACAAGTTATTTACCATGTTTAAGAATGGTGGTACAGTTAATCTACTAAACATATTAACAAAATGTCCTAATTACAACGACTTAATAACTCTCAGAAAGGCTATATTTACATTTTTAATTATTGGTAATTACATTAATACAGATGTGCCTGGATAGAAAGAATAGCGTAACTTCGGTAAGAGAAAAAAGAAAGATCTAATATTCATGCATATTACACAGACATATACATATGTATAGAGCATATTTGATTTTGTAATTTCAATAGGATTGTTAGCTTCATGATATTGGTTACTTTGAAGTAATACTTGGTTGTCATTATGAACTTTGTAAAGAAATAATACAGTGAAAGACACTATATAATTACACACGAAATTACACTCTAGGAACAGACGCTGGCAAACGTTTCAAAGAAACACACAATAAGTGTATATTGAACGTAATACCTTGCGCCACTTTGGAAGATAAATGCTTCTGGCAGGAGTGCTATACACAACAGCCAAAAGGGCCCGTCGTCTACGTATATCAGATCAATCTAATAAGACCATTAAAACATTACTACCAAAAGTAAACAAAACCGAAGTGCTTAATCAGGTTGCTTGATATCTGAAATTACTAATTTCAAGGTCGTTCACACCAGCTGTGTAATACCAATTAATTAAAGATTGTACAAAATGTTTATCATAAGTTACTAGTGATCCTATAGTTTGTGTATTTTTAATGATATTTATGATTGAAAGTTTATATACACAATATGAAGGCTGTATTACACTTACACTATAATTCCTCATTCCAGGATGTAAAAATAAAAATTGTCATTCTTTTTATAGAAACCTCCCTCTCAATAAGAAGGGAGAAACATTAGAACATCAACAACTCAAAAACTAACCACTGCTAACAAAGTTCCTGGTGTCTGTGTTATACACTTTTGCAAAGGTAACAATTCTATATATGGTTTGAAAGTTTCCACTTCAAAATTAAACTTTTTCTGCCTTCCTAGTTAAATACAAAGGCAACAAACAACACTGTACAAATGATAACCTAAAACACACAGTCTTTCGACTAGCATTTGTTTAGAAAGTAAAATTACAAGGTAGATAAAACCTTGTTGATATTAAACAGATATATGATTTTAACCAGCTTACCTCAGAGGATAGCAATGGAATTATGATCAACAAACAACCACCCCATCTTTTTTTAAAGACAAAAACTGGTTTTACAAAGAAATGAGAAAACAGATTACAATACAGCTGACTGAGAGAACACAAATCCTCTTAACATATCCATATGACTTTGAGTCATGATTTTTACAAAGGCTCATGTGATATTTTTATTACATTTTTTTGGGCTTCAGCGTTTTAATGAGGAATAATGTACCATATGAGCATTACTGCTTTAAAAATAAAAAAAACTAACATAAAATAAATTAAATATGCTTATACCAAATATGTTTTTCAGAAAACAGGACAATCCGCTAGTATTGACTTTACAGTGAAAAGAAAAACAACAACAATTTGCTTGTATTGACTCTATAGTGAAAATAGAAAACAACAAGAATTTGCTAGTATTGAGTTTACAGTGAAAACAAAACATCTACTAGTATTGACTCTACAGTGAAAAGAAAATACCTATATTTTAGACATTTAACTAAATAAAAGTGGAAAAGTCAAAATGGCACAATCTCCCAACTCTTAATCTACAAGAGATAGAAAAATTAGCCAACTAATCACTACCTGTCAGAATTAACTCTTCAGTACACACATCCTATTCACACATACAGCCAAAAATAACAATTTCTAAGAATTAAATCAGAGAAAACAAGTCAAATAAAAAATGATGACCGACTAATAAAAACACTCTACTTGACTTTTACATTAAAGATCATTTTCCTTGAAAATATTTTGTAAATAGTAAATAACAGGGCTGGTAATAGCAACACTATTGCAATAAATCTGTTACAGTACAAATAAAACAACAGGATTGGTAGAAATATCACCCCTCCCCCTCCATAAACAGTTAAAGTAAAAGAATTGAAGTGCTAACTACAACATATCAGCATAACTTTTAAAGTAGAGATAAAAATATAGGATTAGTATAAATCATCCAGCACAATGTTTTCAGAAATTATGAAACCATAAGTACAATAACAGCTTATTTTTACTAACTTTAGAGTGAAGAAAAAAAAACAACAGGCCTGGAAAAACAATCTCTAATAGCTTTTACAGTGAAGATAAATCCATTACATCAACACTGACAGCTCTACTTTTACAGTAAAAAATGTGACAAGTAAAATATTCTTCCATTATGAAGTTTATAACACAGAAGTAAATAAAAGGTAGTGGTAAAAATATTAGATGAAATAATGGGTAGTGGTAAAAACACTGGATGAAATAATGGGTAGTGGTAAAAACACTGGATTAAATAATGGGTAGTGGTAAAAACACTGGATTAAATAATGGGTAGTGGCAAAAACATTAGATTAAATAATGGGTAGTGGTAAAAACACTGGATTCCTATTATTTTTTAGAATGTTTTTAACACTCTCAATGATTTCATCTAGTGTTTTAACACTACTTATTATTTTATCAAGAGTGTTTTTACCACTACCCATTATTTTACCTAGTGTTTTTACCACTACCAATTATTTCATCCAGTGTTTTTACCACTACCCATTATTTCATCAAGTGTTTGTACCATTTTTAACACACTCAGTGATTTCACTTAGAGTATATTTAACAATAATCCAGTGTTTTTACAACTACCCATTATTTTGTCAAAACTAATGGGTAGTTGTAAAAACACTGGATAAAATAATGGGTATTGTTAAATATACTCTAAGTGAAATCATTGAGTGTGTTAAAAAGACAAAATAATGGGTAGTTGTAAAAACAGTGGATAAAATAATGGGTATTGTTAAATATACTCTAAGTGAAATCACTGAGTGTGTTTAAAA